AGACGCACAGCCTTATTTGCGAGGTGTGAACAAATTAAATGGGACTAAAACGCTGACATTAAACCTTTAATTTCCAAGTGATAAAAGACAGTATGATGAACGGCAAACTGCAGTATTAATATTGTGACAGATACGAGACGTTGCGGCTTATACGGGTTGGTATCAAAGTCGGACTTTGGCAACAGAACCTGGCTCGATTTGTGAACGTCGGACAGATTACCTGGGTTCCTTTTGTAGACATCACTAAGCCGATAACTTCAACAAGAAATGTAATTTTGACACCATTTATTGATAAAGAGATAATGTTTAATGGCTAACCGTGGTGTCACGCACAGGTCCTGCGAAATTGGAAGTATGGGAGTGGAAAAAATACTGCCGATTTTTCGTTTCACTTAGAACTCGAAAACAAAACAGTTTTTTCAAAGTTACCAGTCTGCAGAACTTACATCGCGGGTTGTTTGCGGCAACAGATTTAAATATATAATTTTCATCATCAACGGTAATTGGCATGCCATGAAGTCATCAAATAGCTTTCCGTTCAAATCACTCAATTCAGGACGTACAATGAACAAAAGGTTCAGTAGCACGGCCCTAGCAGCGGCCTAGCAGTGAATTTCAAGGCGGACGCCTTTGTTTTGTACAGCTTTAAGCTCTTGGTCGACCACCCGTATAAAAAATTAAATGCCGCCAACTGTTAACTCATAGAACTTGTGACTTTCTGAGTTGTTTCGGCAATCCCTGGAAGAGTATCAGTAAATTATTCAGAAAAGTACTAAATACGTCTCGGGTTTAAATGTCGAACATCTTCAAGGTTAATCACTCCTTCGGTGGAAGACGGACGTTTATTGATCACGTTACGGGATACACTCATTTCGTAGTGCCTTGGGACTCTCTCTCTCTCTCGTGCCCTGCCGGCAGTTGTACAACGGCCAGCAATGCAGCCAGAATGGCATGTCTTCTGTCTCAAGTTTGTGTATATTAATCGGTTAAATGGTGTAAACTTCTAACGTGAAGAGGTCTGTAGGAATTGGAGGTACGCTTAGTCAAAAGACGTTTCTCTAATACAGAGTACCGCAGTCGATCTCCCGATTTTGCGCCCACTGCTCTGTTAACTGAGTTCTGGGACACATAGCTGCCTGCTGTGCTGATACGCGACACTCCTGTATCCCCTTACATGTCAGATGAGCCTACTTTTTTAGGCTGAGCGACTTTGTCCTGTTTCGACCGACGTCTGCTGTTTAGGGAGTACAGTACCCTGATAAATTCGGCAGATGCAGTCTGCAGCCTTGATTTAACAACTGGTTCATCAGAAGCAACATCATGTAGGGAGGTGTTGAGGTTGATCGATTGCCTTGTACGTATACGAGGTCTGCTGAACCACCCACTTTTCATATGTATTCTAGTTAGGCATTGAAAACTAGTGAAAAAACGAATTCTGACCCGAAATCGATGTGTTGCTCGAGACCTAGTAAAGCAAACAGCTGCTGGGTCGATTACGTCGGAAGGCCCGCGTCTTTCAGTGGGGAAGTTCCACACTTTTTATAATCTGTAATTTCTACTGCATGACATGCCTGGATAAAGTCTGGTCGTGTGAGGACCGATGCCATCGCGGCCAGTTTATGTGCAACTGTGACCTGAAGGTGCTTACAAGCCGAGGCTTGCGTGTTCTCGTCCAGACAACCCAAAAAGAAACATCACTGGAGATATGACATACTCTACCATACATTAGGAATGTTTCAGAGACGAGCAAACGCATTGTTGTGACCCTAGGTGTTGGAATTACGCGCCTGCCCAAAGTTGCTATGTGCAGCGGGATGACGAACAATAAGAACCTATTAAATACCAGGGAAAGTCTGGTATAATGTATCAGATCCCATGACTAAACTGACCTTGTTATTACATGGGTCAGTATGAACGCAAACTCCTATCGCGCGATGGCATGACTAGCTATTGCAAGAGGCTACCAATACCCACGAAACAGGTCACGCGTTCAATTGACCACGCTGAAAATGAGGCAAACAGAGGGTTGATTCAGACCTAGGCTTCTGGTCAAAAAAACAGTCAACCAACATCTTGGTCTGACGCCCACATACGGAGTCCTGCACAGCCACTGGTCGTTGATTGGCTAGTGAGGGTCTATAGCTGTCACTTTTCCGATTACTGCTGTCATCTCCTGTGCGAGTACGAAGACTCAGAAAAATAAACAAATAATTCTGATGCTCATGCAGACCCCGTCATCCTTACTTGCAAATATACCTGCAACGCAACCAATCATCTTCATTGTCTAACCAGTTGTGCGACCTGTTTTAATGAGACACGGCAAGTCTATTCCACTATCTAATTTGAATTTCCGTTTATGTGTTTTTTTCGCACCTTATAAAGCAATGCGAGGCGAAATTTTTGCTGCCACATGTGGGACCTTTGTCTGCATTGTCACTGGCGTAAACCTATGCCTGATGTTGCTGCGGGATCGATCACTTTACCGACCCGTTGGGGATAACGAGCACTTTGGCATCTACAAAACAGCGTGATAAGATGTGAATTTTACTTATATTTTCAACCGGTATCATGGTACATGGCACCAGATCAAGTTAAAACGCCTGCTTGGATGCATTGAAAGCCCTTGGTGTCAGGAAAACCGGCCACGCCTGCAACGGCTCAATTTTTGTATTTTAAACGGTAAGATGTGATTATGTAGTCCCACCTGATGGACACAATACCGTTGGGGCTGGGGTTCAGTTCAGATGAGCTCACTTTTATTGAGGGAAATGTATATCTTCGCCTTTGAACTCCCGATTTGTTTACAAGCAACTGAAAAATCTCAAAAGTGGAAAAGGTATCATGAAGGTAACAAATAATCGGAAAAGCGTCAACTCTTTACAGATAAACAAACTGTCTCGTGTGTTAGTGGTACGAGCAGTAGTACAGTGGTCGTTTCGTGTGCAGGAAAAAATAATAGTCCCAGTAACAAAAGTTGCATAGGTGCATGTCAGTAAGCGTAGGCGATGGGTTTGAGACAATAAGAAATTCAATTTCACCGGTTACTGAAATATAGCAAGTAGTATTATAACAACAGGATTTGTCAAGGCTACAGGGTCGGGTGGTAATTTAGTGGACACTGCTATACGAATCCAGCTTTTTCTTAAAGACCCCGAGGGAAGCAGACATAACGATATCTGGAGGCAGGACGCTCCAATCTTCAAGCACTCTGTTAGGGAAGAAGAACCTTCGTGTGTCCAGCCTGGCTCCGGTCACACTTAGTTTGAATGGGTGACCTCCTAGGTTTGTGGTGGTTGCTAACTCGAAGAAGTCCCCCGGTACGATTTGAGAACCGGTTAAAATAAGCTAGCAGCCGGACGAAAGAACACATAAGTCAGGCGTACGTGTTCGGTAACAGAAATTGTTCAGAGATATTGAAGAAGCCGAGCGTTTGTGTTCTAATCGAGGCAAAGTGAACCAAAACGCAGTCGGTGATCTTTGCAGCACGCATAGTATGGTGAGTCCAGACAGGGCACAGAGAAGTCTAACTATTCTTCCGGAAAAGTAAGTAAGTCACGACGCACGAAAACGACAACACAAGGCAATGCAAGTACATTGGGTTAACTAAGAAATCGAGGAAAGACAAGGGGATTAAGGGGACGGGGAGCGAGAACATCATGTCTATTAATTTATCACTAAGAAGTCATACTGAAACAACACGGTGCATGTGGTTAAACCAAAGTTTTAGATAACGCGCAAAGGGAGACTTCCTGCAGCTATGGATTAATGAACAAAACAAGGCCTTCTAAAACAAAGATAGTAGTTACCTATACATGCTAAACCCAGTGAGGTTACGCAAACTATCCTTGTCGGTAATGCTATATTCCTTATAGCATGTGTCACTATGCGGCTGCTGGTTGGGCTCGAGAGAGCGTCCTGAGGCACAAAGGGACGCGTGAGTCCCGTAGAAACGACCATGAGCGCCCCTCTAATATTATATGCATAAAAGAAGACGAAAAAGCGGTCTTTGAGACCAGTTATCTATTAATGCGGCGTTCGCGACTCTCAAGCGAGATCATCATCGAAAAATGAAAGACTGTGCAACCCACTTCATATATAGTCGGCTCGGCCTAAAATGGCCTTCATGTACACTATTAATCTGTCCGTTCAGTGTTAGGGCTGCGCGTATTTTGTTTTTCGGAATATATATGTTTTACATTCTTCTATATTTCATTTGCATATTCTAACACTCTGTATGTGTATATATGTGTAATACTAGTTAGACCCGCTGGACTATATTTTTAAGTCCCCAGATTAAATTAAATGCTGACTAAGACCGTGGTAAAAGTTCAAAGTGACAATCAGTGTATGGTTTAATTCATGTACTCTGGGTATTGCCTGCAACATTCCTCTTAACGACTCAGTAAATGTTCGTTTTATTGGATGGGTATTTATTCCTTTGATTTATCAAAAAACCAACCACATCTACACCCACAGAAGGCCGTCAAACTTTTCTCGGTTGTTGGGGCATTGCAAGCAAAAATTCTGAATTAAAACATGAGGGCGAATTTCCATGACGTTTTTCTGCTTTGCACAACAAAAGAACGTTTGCTGAAATCAAAGGCATCTTCCCTGGATGAGCATAAATTTACATGTTACTTGGATTAAACAAATGTGGGCACTCGTGAAATAGCAAATGCTTGATCCAGATTAGGTTAGAGACCTGGAAAACAAGCACTGTGTTCTACACTCCAAGACTGACTCTTCGGTTTTGCTTTCCCAACATAAACTTATTACTGAGAATACGCACATGTCAGATTCTGCCGATGCCGCTATTGCCGGATAAAATGCGTCCTAGGATTTACAGTTTCATGCGGGGACACTTAATAGTGGAACACCTAGAATGCTGCGAAAGTGGGGGGGATCTCCCAACTTCCTAAGTCATCCTTCTTCATCGGCGTTTCTTTATACTGCGTCCATTTACGCCATCTTTTCTCACTTTTAGACTACGCTCTAGAATTATGAATGCACGGCAGAGTGGCCTTATAAATACTGATATTTTGCTAAAACGGGTAAGGTTTTGCTCGTTTCATTTCTATATTACGTATATAAGAAACAAGACCGCTCGAAAGTAATCTTCCATATATTCAAAAATGAAGTGACTATTTGGTGGTAGTCATTTCTGTGACAACTGGTATAGTTTTCAGACAGAAAACAGTTTCTGTCGATCTAAACGAAGGATTGCTTGTGTTTCTTATTACTGCGGTTTACGGCACTGAGTCGCACAGATTTGCTAATCTGACTTTAAAAAATCGATGGAATGTCTGGTTTTCTAAAAATGACCTGTGTGTTAGCGATCTGATATCCATGGTTACCACAGGCCAAAAGGCAATTTTCCAGCGCGGTAAGCTCTTTTGAGTAAAACGGTTAGGGGCACATTAATCTTCTCTCAAAGGAAAACACACCCAAATGCACAATCGAAGCCTAGGACAGGTATATGCTTAGACAATTGTCCAAAGAACACTCGACGTCCATATCTGTTCCCATTTGTAAACATTTTGCCAAAAAATAACATGGGAACATTTATTTCATAAGAAATGGACATTTCCTAGAAAGAGGCCGGACGAGCACGCAAAATGTGCAATATTTAATGCATCCGCAAATTCTCACATTAGTTTCCCTTATCAGGTTTCATGAGCTAGTTCGCATACAGTATATATTAACCCGACATCTCGAAACACAGAAAAATTTAATGCGCGGAGGAATTAAAAACAAGAGCTTGCACATTTTATGCCAGTTTACTGGAAATCGGTAGACTTTCAGACCAACAGCAGACAATTCTTGACAAGGACCGTTTCTCGTTCCCATCAGCGGCAAATTTTTTTTTCATAGGTATTTTTGATTGAATGTTGTATGGTAGGCCGAAATTGTTGAAAATGTGGGAAAAACGTAATTTTTATCCTGTTAACTATGCCAGGACAGTTGTTCACAAGTTTTTTTTAGAAAGGCCGCTGGTTAGGCTATTGGATGGATATTGTGAGGAATGAGGTGAATTCCAAAAATAGTCATATCGCTTATAAACAACTTTTTCACGTGCAGGACAGTCGTGGAAGACAGGCATGATTCAAGTAAATGTGATGATTCTCGTTTTCTGTGGTTAACATATTGTTCTTGAGAACAAGATGTGCACGTTCGGCTGAGCTGCAAACCAAAGTGCACATGTGGGTGGGTGTGAAAATTTGAAAGTCCATGAGCAAGACATTCTGTGAACTGAAGTAAGCAGACGCGATTGGCCTTATGACCCGTCATTTTGACTAGACCTCGCTTCAATACACATGCGTCGGGCGACGCCCAGGGGTCATAGGCAATCAGGTTTGCGTTGGTTGCTTTGCTTTAGAGGTGCGTCTACCCATTAACCGATGACTGTTGGACAGTCTCTGTGCAGTGCACAATGTAGAACATATGTTCGCGAGATTCACTGTGAAATTTTACGAAGCCAACAATATATTCCTAATAGCGTGTAGAAATGTATGATTTTCCTAATACCGAATATACGTAGCTTGTAGTTTGGCAGCTCTGAATAAAAGTCTAACAATAAAAGTCTAACGGCAAGTCACGTTCAAAAGTATCCGCAAATTAAAAGTTTTTTTGAATTTGATTGTTAATATGTCTTTAGGTGCAATATATAAACAAGACGTACTAAATTGCCAAACAGGTAAAATAAGGAATATTTATGTACGTGTTTATCTACTAAATTAAAATAGAAGTGATGGCTGAGATTGTAAACAGAGCATTTTGTGTGTATTAAGAAAACGTTTCTTCCGTGGACTTAATATGTACTTTTTCGTTCTGTGCTATGTCAAGTTTCAGGTCGGTCTTGAAATATCGCTGAATAATTCATGATTTTTAGTGTCTTCAATTGATTGCCCGTTAGGACAATCCTGCACTTGTGTTTGTTAGAATCCATCAAATGAGATGTTTCTTGAAGACATTTACCAAATTAGCGAAGTTGTGAGCGTTCTTTTTCATAATCATAACAATGTCCAGAACGATTATATGCTTATGATCAATTAAACGACCATTTCAACTGAGTTATCTCTTCAAAAGTGCCTTAATGTTGTACTTCTGGAAACACTCCCGGTTCTCTTTCATTACAAGGTAAAGTCCGGAAAACTTAGGTCATTATGGCAGCTGGTATGCTTCTCTGGTCGATACTAGAATTTTTCTGTCGAAAACGATAAAATGTTTATTTCAATTTATTTCTCTTTCTATCCTTGTCTATTTCCTGTTTCGCTTCGTCGATAGCAAATGCTCAACAGTGTGATCATATAAATACTTGACTGGTTCTTGCATTGCAAATTAGTGCCTGTTTCATTTGAAGATTGCGTACTAGCAGAAACTGGATAGCATAAAAGGCGTCCTACTACTATGTGCTCGAAAGCTACATTGATTATCTGACTGTGGGAGTTTTCGTAGCAACTTGAGAAGCATTTCCCTACGTTTGGAAGTTGCCGGTGTATCAGAAACGGTGATTGCCCAATGACGTCATTACTACTTAGCAAAACAAAAAATTGTGCATTTTTCCAAACGATAATTTTTGAAGATGAAGATGCAAGGTGCTTTTGAAAATGACGCGCTCATTTATATTCTGCCTCGATCGATATACGCGAAATGAAATATCACCCCTTAAGTTAAGAATATCTGATTTGGAAAGCTTTCCTTGTTTTAATTAATGTCACTTACTAGCGAAACCTGCATCAACTCACATATGTAGCATGAAAGTTTTATTACACCAAGGACTAACCAAAAGACTGAACGGTATCGATTTTAGTTCAAAATTTTGAGAACATATCTGCGAGGAAAATGTCTTCACTAACGCGATAAACTAAGAAGGCAAATGCACAATATCCACGATATTTCAGACTGATTACCCAGACTTCCGTCACCAAATTGCAATCTGAACACTAAACGTCCGGTCTTCTTATTACACAAAAATTTATGTATGGACACCCAAATACGTCTATTGATTGTTCACGCTAAAATACCAAAGCAAACGTGTCTTCTAAACTGCCGGAAAAACCATACGTTTTTTTGTCAAAACATCTAAACCCCCTCATGCCACCTGTATCGATCAGGTAACACCTTGAGTATACCCATGATAATCGCAAACTGGGTAACAAGTATTGGTCAGCAAAACTGTGTCAGCGCTCGTAGGTTCTTGATCTACTTTCCAACGGTTTTCTACCTGCTGCTCCAAAGAAAAATCGGAAAGTTGGTCGGAATTTTAAAATATGTCCATAAGTGGAGAAGACTTCGTAAGTTCGACTGAACCTGTAAAAGTCCCGAACCAAATTAAATAAGTGCATTCCGGTGTTGTGAGAACGCCCCAAACTAAGAGGTACGCAGTTTTACCTTATTTTTTAAAATTCTACCTTGAATTTTATCATACTTCCTGTAAAGGCGAAAGAAAGTTTCCTTGTTACACTTACCTCATAAAGGATGACATTCTCCAGATAGATACTGGAGTCTCTACCAGAAATTGCACGGGGACTTCTGGGGGACACACAGATAAACCGAAAAAGCAAGAGAACAATGGACTCAGACCCAGATATGGCGGTGGGTACATAAGAAATACTTCGGTCTTTCTCATCAGAGTTCGAACCCGCCGTTTGAAATATGCGATAATTCTGAAACCTATTGGTACTCTGTTACAACAAAGTTGGCGCTGCGTTGATAAATTAGAGAGTAGTTTCAAGTGAACCCATGCGTCTCTAAACTGGGAATGCGTCATTTCTGCGTCGGCCTGACACAATTGTCTGCTAGACAGACGTGCAAATGCAGTCGGGGTCCGCCGTTGTCTCCTAGTCATATCGCCGGGGGTGTGGTGGTACATCTAGATGTGGGTTTATGCCACGCCAGTGATCTGCGCCTTCCCCCCGCCCCCGGTTTTCTTGACTCTGTCACGTTTCACTGAAGATTTCAACCCAACAACACTGTGCTCACCATGCATCGTTCACTTGATCAGACTTCGGCAACCTGGAAACTGAGAAAGTACGTCGCTCAAAACAGAACCCAAAGGAGTGCTGACATACGCCAGTCAAGTTCGTTTGAATGAACTCAGGGCTGGCGCATGCTGCATGTTGGCGCTCTGCGGGACAGTGAATGACCTGTGCTCACAGGGGGACATGCATCAGCTGCAGTGACCTCTCTAAAGTCCACTATGTGCAGGCTCTTTGGAGTCCGTCACGGAAGGCTTATTTCCAATCACATGAGATCACCCAGGACAGCAGACGCCTGCTGACGCCGAACATATATAAACCTACCAGTCTTCGAGTCTGAATCCTTTGGCAGAAGCAAGCAATCCCCTGACAATGGGGACATGGGAGATTCTTCGGTGGACATTCTGGCTAGCAGTGCAGTGGGCATTCTGCAGTCTGAGGGCCGATGATTACACAGAAGGGCCAAACAAGGGACACAATGGAAACACGTCCACCGGTAAGTACTCCAGTCAGCTTGCGGTGGGTTTGCATGGAAAAGTGTTAATGATTCTTCTTTTCTTTTGCCAACATTGTTGAGGACTACCGGGCATGCAGCGAAGCATACTGTTGGGGGAAATTGGAAACATCGCGTGTGTTTCTTCCACCCATTTAAGACACGACTGCAACATTCGGTAGCTAAAGGGATTTTTCATGATTTCTTTGCCCAAAAAGCCGTTCTGTCGGTCAACTGGCACACTAAACAGACTATCTTGATATTTAATTGCGATATCACTGAAATGTACGCCGTGTACCTACCTGCCAATAAGCGTGAAAATCTGTCAACTGGGATGTGTTCATACAACACTCGATTAATGTTCGCAAATTCCTGTGAACTACCTGACTTTGTCTTTTTTACCACCAAAACCAAGTATGTAGCCTGCATCATCGTGCCCTTCCCAGGGGTTGGAATGTCATTAATCTGAATTGCAAGTCGGAGAATCGGATAGGAATACCCATTCTACGGGTGGATAAGGAAGGCGAACGCACGGCTTACAACGTCAGGACGCGCAAGCCGGTTCTTCACATTGGAAGCCGCTCCTCCGTTTGTAGCCAAACAACCCCTCATCTCCAACACCACGCGGAGACTGAAGAATTAGAGTCCCTCACCTTTTACTGACTGCTATGATTTTGTTGTGTTCAAAGCGTATGGAGGAGTATATGTGTTTGAATAGAAGAGGGTGGTAGTTTAGGTCTCTAAAAAAGTGTTTTAGCTGTGTGAGAATTGCATACGCGATTGCATGAAGTTTCCTGTTACCTATAATCACACGTTTCATGGTACCGTTCGTAAGGCATGTGCCGTAAATCGCCTCTGTCGAACCAATCTCGGTGAGCTAGAAGGATTTAATTAAGGAAACATTCCAAAAGAGAGGAGTCCTAAAGTTCTTGTGGCTGACATAGTCACTGACAACGTAGTGGCGATTTTCTTGCCTATTTGATGAGAATATGGCCTTTGTTTGCAAATATGCCTGTAGACTCCAGGCCCAAATCCGAGTTAGTTGAGTTATTTGGTGACGGATGGCGTAAACCTCCAGCTAAAAAGAGGCAAAAAGGTCGGACTACTGTCTTCATTCAGGCCTCGAACTTTAAGCACAGTGAGCTCCAATCAAGCACGTGTAATGTAAATGTTTATTTTACTCCCTTCATTTTGTTTAATGCAGGACGACCCGATTCGCTAAAACGGAAGAAACCAACCACACTACTAAAGATGACGTTCAGTTAAAAGCAAACATGTGACGTGTATGAAACGACTTCCCATCCAGCGTTCTGTTGGTCAATTCCCTAGCCTCATCCAAATCAACCTTCCCAAACAAGATATTTTTTGATAATTGCGATAAATACTCTGTATGTGCTGGCGTAAGCTGTAATTCGGATATGAAATCAACGGAATAGGACAGCATGGGGGCAAGAGTATTCCGTGCACAAGAGAAAACACCAGAATCAGACCTGATCTTCAGGACGTACAGTGGACCACAACTGTGCCTTTAACGAAGCTATCGTCAGCCAAGATTATATTTACAGGTTTGGTCTGATATACAGCGACAACACACTCTTTTATTAATTCAGCCTTGGGTACAGGTTGCGTTGCAGTAAATTATTTAGCATCAGTCTCCAATGCATGAGGGTTAAACTAAGATTCGACTTATCTCCGATCAACTAAAACAGCTGCGTTCGCTGGACGAAATGCTTATGGCAGTTTTATGCTTCGCACGATTTGTGAATCAAATGAACAATTATATGACCCTCGTTTATTGAACGTTGATTTATAACTGATTATTTCCCCCGTTAGCATGCACTCACACAGCTTCCCACTTTTTAAGCCTCTTTAGAAATATACAATTTCACTGCCGAAGCTCTGAATTCCAGCGCCATCAGGCTCAGTTGGGATCTACCCCTGGGAGACCAAGTGCATACCTACATGATTAATATTCAATTTAACGAAACTAATGGCTCAAGGATTACTGACGATCATTCTGTCTACTCCAATAAATCCACTTATGTCATTGGTGGTTTACCTGCTGATCGCGAGATCGATGTGAGGGTCGCGATTGTCACGGGATACGGAGTGCCATCTGACGAGGGCGTTGCAGACAACTGGAGTGAAGTCCGTCGAGTGAAAACATATTCTGGTAAGTTTGCGCTTGCGGCTTATTGACCAAGAGAGTGGACTTAAATGTAGGCGAATCTTAAAGCAATCCAAATTATGAATGTTTTATGTCGACTGAATCTAATTTAACTGGTAGTTTCCTTGATTTCACCGACAGTGTCGCATATCATGGAGCGATCGACGTTTCTGTCTCTGTTATAGTCACTAGAAGCTTCTCGCACGTTCGAATTCGGTTAATTTTAAAGTCCATACTGGTTGGGCTAAGAGAGAGAAAGCGAGTCCGTAAGACACAAGGGAACGAGTGAGTTCCGTAGGAACAATCGGTAAGCGACCCCCTACCATTGCATATTCCTGATCGAAACCGACAGGACAACGAGCCCCTGACTCAGTGGTTAGAGGCATTGGACTTTTAACTAACAGGTCGCGGGATCGAGCCTTAGGTGTTCTACACCTCGGAGTTGGGTATGACTGGCTGACGACGGCTAATAAGCCAGAACTGGCCATTCCAGTCTGCCTTGTCTTTATCGGTAATAGCATCCAGTCTATATCATGCGCCGCTGTGCGGCTGCAGGTTGGGCTCGTGCGAGAACCCGTAAAGCACATCTGGACGAGTGAGTTCCGTAGGAACCATCGGTGAGTTCCCCGTCTACCATTCTATATATTCTGGAAAATATTTGTCGTCATTAGACGCATTAAAACTTTCACTTGAGATACTGGAAGTTAGCTAGAAAGCCGAACTTAAGCACCCAAAGTGCCAGATAATTTGCATCATTCCCCCCGCTACTTAATTGCATAACACTACTTTATTCTGTTCTTACCAAAACTGGAAAAAACAGATTTTGACTATTATTTCACAGCTTCGATGTCTACCATAATTTGCGCAGCAGTATTTATTTAAAATGCTGAGCTTCGTCCCGAAACTAGTGACTGATGAGCAGACGAAATTTTAATCTCTTAGAATGCACACTATCATCGAAACCGTAGCGTTTCAATATTTGTCTTCTAAGGGAAGCCTTTAAATATGTGCCTGCTTCTCGCCGAAATTTTTTTCTTTGTCTTTGTTCAAAAGGAAGCATTAATTGCTTGAGGTGCGAATGCAGTTTTTCGTTTCATTTAAACAAAATTTTTACTTCATTACGAAGATACTGTCGATAGCCTTCCGTGCCAATTCAGTAAGGAATTGATCATCCCTAGTAACGGGACGCATGACGCCTTATGGTATTTCGTGATAACACCACACATCATTGTATTCTAGAGCATAGGAAGGACGCTAGCGAAATGCGATTTTACTATTGCAGAAGAATAGGGCAGGATTGTTCCGCGTTATGGAAGTAACCTTTCGACGCAAGAAAACGACAGTTTGTCTATCATGACCGACGATGTCCACCGTGTGCTCCAAGGCAGGGCGAGATCAAGGGTGATGACATGGGCGGGATTTCTTTTATAGTCGTATTAGTCTTGCGCCGCATCGATCGCACTCTCTCCTTTTCGACCCGGACCTGCACAGCATCTACTGAACACTTTTGCCTCCACCTCATTGTCCTCATTTCCCGCCTGGGCCTGATGGTATGACAGGCAGCAAGCCCGTGGGCGGGAGAGAGCGGGGGTGATTGGCACGGTGACAACTCGAACCTTAAGGAGTACAACCACATCCCCTGGTCCACAACATACACCGGCCAGGGTGTTATGTACCAAGAAGAGGCGGGTTACGATCGGATCCCATTTTGCGCGGCACGTGCCTGAACCTGGGCGTGTCACCTCGTCACACCTCTGATATTTGCACTTGTTATGGGATGCGCATTCCCAATGGCGTGCGCCGTAATCCGATCAAGCCCCAGTGTTGACCCAACCCATTTACCGCGTAGCCCGTTCTAGAGACGCACGGAAGAAAACGTTACATAGATAACGGCTTCCCTTCCCGCAACGACGCAGCACGTTCGGTAACATTTGACGGGGAAAATATATAGCCGATCAGCAGTTATCACTTACAAACACCTTGCAAATGGCTAATAGGAAGAAGGGTTGGCATTTGCCCTCAAAGCTCCTCTTTAACTTCCAAAAAGATTGCTGCAATCGGAAACGATAGCTGGCTAAGTACTATGCTCATGCTAGTGAGACTCTCTAATACAACAACTGTTGCCTTGGAGGGAGAATATCAACTCATTGGAGAGAACGTATGTTTTGTGGCTAGTCAGGCTAACTACGAGTGGTTGTTCAGGATTAGGTAATAACGCAAGGGAATGCGGAAAATAACCACTGATAGCAACCTCAGAATATATGGTTAGGGATAAATCCTGTGACGTAGTGACAGTTCGACCATCGGTTTCGATGATGTCCACCGTGTGCCCCACAGTTGCAGCAGCAATGGGAGCAGGGACGGTGACTTACGCAGGGGTTTATAGTGCCGGTAGACTTGCGTAGCATCTACCTACACTCTCTTCTCCTCCCTCGCCCGAGCCCGGCGTCAAGACAGTGTCAAGAAGACTGCGCGCGCCACGGCACGGCACGTAGTAGAGTAGTAGGCAATGCCCTCGATGTCCCTATTGAAAACTGTCCGTACAATATAAATGTTAAATGCACATCGTACTAACATTTTGCCGATAACATATTAGTTTACGGGAAATGGTTTTACAGTGCTAGACTGCGAAGTGTGGGGCAGACGGTATTTTCCACGTACATATGAAATTTTAACTGCAATAATAGACATGAAAATATCTTGTTTGAACTAGGGTCATTGAAGGGGGTCCGTGGCCGCTATAATAGTAATGGTCGTTGGCTAATTACGCGATGATTTTAAAAGGCTGTGGGGGCCTTTCTTAGAACAGCTCAGCCCCAGAAGATATACGAGAGGAGGAGGAGGAGGAGGTTTTATGTCGAACTTAAAGGAAGGCTAATGTGTGATTTCGTTTGCTTAAAAAATATACGCAGTGCGTTGCATGAGATGTTTTAAATTAACCGCGGTCACGAAAATCAGCACTTAAGGTAATATTTGAAGATTTCGATTAATTTTTCCTGAAATTCAGGCCCGACAACAATGTATACGGGAGTATTTATAAGGTGTGTCAAGCTCCATATCCCAGCTTCCAACCACTATAATCAACTAGGCATAGTGAGACATTTAATCTCTACGAAAGCTGACTACCCGTAAAGTAGTCGGTTTTAGTATTTGTGTAAATTTACTCATCATTAATTATAGCTTCTTTGTCATAAATTCGGGACCTCCTCCGTATCTACGGTCAACTGACGCATTTGTACCTTTTTCGCCTGGAATTCATAAAGTTAGATGAGATGGTCTCGATCAAAAGTTGACAAGCTATTTAGTTAGAATTAGGTTCCCTGCTAATTAATGGCTCAACATGACTCAATTCTATGCAATGTTTGCAAGTAGAATTATGGGACTTCGGTGAACACTTTATAAACTACGATTCCATTTTACTTTGCTCAGATGCGTTGATATGGTGAACCCAAATTTGTACCCAAATTGTTCTATGAATGCGCTCTACAAAATCTCCGAATTTATGCTTTGTGAAAATACACAGAAGACATGAATAATTTGCAAGGAACTTAAAATGCTGCAAATCCAAAACTGGAGCACACGGGGAACGCAGGAGGACTCACTGATGAGCCGGAACCCACACAGATAATATTATGCAGCGGCAGAATGTCAGTTAAACATTGATCTGAGCTTCTAGCTAGTACCTGTGCCGTTTGGTATGGCATCTTACGATACCTAAACATATACTATTGACCGCCTGTTCGCTGTTTGTGTATATTACGCGGTTAATCCGCTGTGCTTGATGGACATCGGCCCAGACATTCATATCGAATTTTAGCCTGAGAATATAGGTCTTAAATAGACAGATTTACGCCAAGTAACGAATTGGTTTTTAACAACAATAAAACTGACGGCGGCCGAGTTCCATCCTGCGTTTCACGACGCCACACCTCCAGTATTGGCATTTGCTATGTTTGTACTCCGATCTCTGCCATGTTTTGGTCCAGCGCATCTACCGCGTACCTTGTTTCATGGACAATATGAAGTTCACATAAATACACGCATACACTTGCATGTAAAGTATGTAGGTTAGACTAGAAGCGTCCGCATCCGCATAACTCAGTGTCCACGTGAATCACAAAAGAATAATTTCCATATAGCTACTGGACGAACCTACAGCAACCAAACGATGCTACATGCGATAGAAATGTCTGCAGCAATCAAGGTGACGTATGCTCTCGTTTGTGCATTTCATGCAGCAATTTAACACCCTCAGTGGCATGCTTTGTCATTCTCTTTTTAGTCCCGAACGAACCGCTCGCCGTTAGGGCTGAAGCTATCAACTCGACCGCTCTTCGGATCAGCTGGCGTCCACCGAACAATATCGACCGCAAATTAGATCACTACCAGATGTTTGTGGAGTATTTTACTGAAGATGGCAGCCGTGTGATTAAGAACATGGAAATCGACCCTTCCATAAACAACTTTGTTGTCAACGACCTTCCTAATGCTACCGAAATACATGTAACACTTACGACGATGGTCGGGGTGGGAATAGAAACCGATATGATGGAGTGGGGAAAATGGAGCCCAATCGTCATTGCAATTACTCCTCCTGGTAAGTTATAGAGAAGATTTTCTTAATGCTTTAGATCATGCTGTGATAATATGACCTTACTTATGCCAACTTCAAGTCCATCGTATATCAATTTCAAAGTCCGTGCTGGAGTGGGATTTGTTTGCAGCTTAGTTGACAAGTTGTCAGAGGAGTCTATAAAAGATCATGTTCAAAATCAAATGGGAGGGAAGGAGACTTGCTCCCCGGAACACACATTCTGAATGTTTGTAGTCTGGAAAAAATCTTGAAATCATCATCTAGATGGCAATGACTGTAACCATCTGGTTCACAGAAGGTGCAGTGTTCATGACTTTCAGCCCAATGAGGCTGAAATTGTCGGTCAAGTCATGTTGGTTAAGTTTATTTGGGCATTGGTTCCAGGAGCAGGAACTTGGAGAAATTAAATCAATACTCAAGAATTTGACATATAATACAGTATGTTGACCGGAAGAAGTACATCGTGACCTCAAGTCTGTAAATCACTCAATGCAACCTTGTTCCTTAAGACTCAATGAGAACCTAGAAGAAGATATCAATCTAACTGGGCCCGTCCCTCCCACTAACCAAGAGGGTTTCTAGGAGAAATAATTTGGTTGGTGCCAATGGAAGAGACAAAAATTGACGCATACAATGTTTCCTGTTTTTTAGTCGGGATGCCAGTTCCGATCGTTCATATCACTGACATTTCATCGGACGGTGTAACGATTTTCACGGAAGATCTCAGGAAACGGGGACGCGATTTTCTGAGACTCGTCAACTTGGATGAACCAAGCATTCGTGTGGTGCGTGATGTTGGGTTTTACGAAGGACGAATCCCTCTTAGTGATATGAAAGCGGACACAAACTACTCAATTGCCATAGCACGCAGTTTCCTGTTTGAAAATATTGATATGGAAGAGTTGGGTCAGTACTTTACTGATCCAATTTTCATTCGAACATTGCCTGAAGGTTCGCTCCTCATGTCCTTATATGCAGTTTTAAAACATTAATTAATTCCAGTTAAAGTCCATTTTAACAATTTAGCATGCTCTTACACCACTTGTCAGTGGTGGCAGATATTGGCACAGTCCGCTTAGATTTGTTTAAAATACGTGCTCGAACGTCGATTTTTAAGCAGGTTGTAAGAACATGGATAGTCATTAAATCATTGGAATAGTAAGAACCGATCCCACATGAAATTGAAGTAATAGTTGCAAAGTAAGAAAAAATTACATGATTTTGCTCATATCGTGGTCCGCAAGAGTGATAAAACTCGCGCCACCAATGAGAGGGCTTACGATTTCGAATGTAACAGGGTAAATTGCCTGACATGAAATTATACATGCTACGTGTTAGTCAATGCATTAATTTATGAGGTGTTAACCACATAATCATGTTTATTCCGTCACATTGGACAAGTGACTGCCATCAGGGTGGTACTTTGGGCTAGTTGAAGCTCTTAGCGCTGCATAGTGCATGGTATACTAGTGCTTTTAATAGTGATTTCTGGTCCCTTCTGACAGTTCCCAGCGAACCCACCAACGTGACCGGATCTAGATTAAATGCCACATCAGTGCGTGTTGCATGGAGCAAGCCCATGCATTCGCGTGGCACAATCGATGGCTACAGCGTACTGTACATCTACAAAACGCCTAACGGCTACGTGCGGGACTCAGTGCCTCAAATAAATCCGGATGAGTATCAGGCAGATATTCACGACCTGCCTTCGGGGGTGTCAGTGGATGTCACGGTAAGTGCGCATACACGTGCATCTTCGGAGGGGAATGGTGGAGGCTGGAGCCTGGAGAGCACCGGGTATACTATACCAGGCAAGTAGTTACATTTTACTTCCTAACTATCTATGCATGTTTCGGCTGGTCTAGTGCTTAAATGTCTCAAACCCTTTAAAATAAGCAGTAGTGGATACCGGAGGGGGTTGAAATTCGGAGTTCCAGGTGTAGAAGATTGTTCGAGCGCCGGAACAGTCTGTTTATTATTTTGAGTTTTTTGACCCGTATCGGAATCCACCGTCAGAGGTAGCAACAACAGAACAAACGACAATTGCAGGGATGGCCAACCGATCTTCTTCTTCTTCTGCAATAGAGTGCCTGAAGCTTAGAGTGCCCAGTCTGCTCATATCGTTAGGTTCACATCAGCTGACCTCTCTATGAGGAAGGTAGGTCAGTATACCATTACGCATCGTAATGTCACCTGACCGATATCGTCTTGACGCTCCGCGCTAACATTTTATTATTGTTATAGTATTACTGTCTATGCTTCAGTAACGTTTGCTTGGCTGAGTAGTCCTGCCGTCTCAGACACATTGCACACTTACTGGCATTCACTTTGGCACCTGTAGATAATTCAGATCGCCCTACACCCCTCGTAGCACAATTGCGCCCAGACTGACTACTGTGCAATGCACTTCGTAGTGTCAGTCTTTCTAACACATGGGATAATTCCCTTATCTGTGCATTTTTAATTATTCGTCCGTAGCCGTTTGATGTTTCTGTTTCCAACTTCTTGATATACTTCGGCTGCTTATAACAAAAAGGCAGTTAAAGGGTTCAGCACCTACGTTTCTTCCAAATAAACTGAACTGATTTAAAATACCCTTTTCCTATATGGTATCATCAAAACCATCATCCATGTTTGGCATGATTCTTTATCTCAAAATAAGGGCTGAATATGACTTTGGAGTAGCTTCCAGATCGTAAGCAATCCACTTTGCGACTTTACCCTATCAGTGAGGGGAGAAACATTATGTGCATATGTGAGGCTTCCAGATGTTATTGTGGTAATCTCCGAGACATTTGACTCGGTAACCTCTCTCCCAATGACATGATAGAACTGCAAGTTCCTAAGTTAGCCAAATTACCTGAACAATCTTTCAGGGGTTACGTCTCACAATGAACATTTTTCGTTTCAAGTTGGATGTGCCCCATTGTCTTAAAAATGAAAGTAAAGAAGTTCAGTGTCTTGAATGATTATATCCTTTTAATCCTAAACATGTTTCAGAATGCAACCTGCAGCAAAACAAGAAACCCTTCTTGAAACTGTAATTCGAACAAACAAGCACAACTCATTTATTCGAGATTTCTGCATATTGAAGTTGCTATAAGCTGTCGCAACATGGTCCTCTACGTCATAAACTATGAAGGAGGCAAAATGCCGTCTTGTGTGCAAATTGCGCGCTGACTTTATCCAAAGGTGATTTGTTGGCTTCTCGGATAATGGGATTTAAAAAATCAGTCGAATTAAATATCCCCATCCAGTACCTATTCAGGACAAATCATTCGCTAATTTAGTTAGGTCGGGATGCCTGTCCATCCTTTTTGCAGAATAGATATTAGCTTGTTTCAGGTTCTTTTGATTACTTGGCTGCGCTTCTTAATGTTATCTTTGTTAAGAATACGCAGACACTGTTTCGTCATTTTGCGCCTACCGTACAGCAATCCGGACAAAATGGTCTGTTTGGCGGCCGCTTCCGAAACGCCTCTTCTCAATTTAACGTTTTGACAGCGCGCCAACTGAACCGGCTTAACTGAAAGGACCGGAAACCGAGTCAGCACGTATTTTATAGGGGAGAAGAAATCACCTTTGCAGCTAATGAGTCCACGCACGAGCTTACTTCTTCATTAGATCAGTCCGAGCTAGATGTGCTTATTCTTGTGAAATGTACCTTACTGATGGGCTTTTCTTACCTATGTAAATGTAGTAGTGAGTCGTACAGGAGAAACAGTGCATATGGAGAAGACAATTAACCAAACCGATTCCTTATTTCTGCTTCATTCTGCATCTTTCGACAGAAATGGTGTGTTGATCATCAACAAGAACTAGTTTGCATTTAGACAATAAATGTGCCGGGAAGTGGATTTGGCCAAGGTTTTCACATCTGCACGGGGCCCTGATATACTGGGCTTCACTTTTAGAGTATAGGACATTCAAAAATTTTATGTCCCGGTAGAGCATGCCGATCTATGGTAGATGCACAACCATGTCACTTGTGTAGGCTTTTCCAAGGGGTTAAAATTGCTGCGTAGGGAGAGCCAAATCGAATGCAAACATTTCATGAGAAATCACTTCTCAATTCCGCATTTATTTGAAATCTCATCTTTCCCGAATTTTGTCTCAAATGAGGGAAACCTATCGACACAAAATATGCATTAATTTCAAAAAGCAGTTTCCGTTTTTACACGTTCCAAGGACGTACTATTGGTTATTTTTATGCCATTTATATGAATGAACCTTGCTTAAACTAACGTACGCCGAAGTTTTGGCTCGAAAGGAGTTAAGACCCGAAATCGGCATTAACGTTCCTCCATAGCCCGCCCAAAAAACATCGTTCGAGTCAAGCACGTATTGGTGTAAACAGTGCATGCTGATAAATTGTTGATGTATACCTAAGTCTAATTTTTACAGCTATCTGAACTAGTTTGCATTTAGCAGCGACTATAACGGAAGAATCCTCGAGCTAAAATAGAATGACAGCTAACATATTGCGGCACTAGGGGCACTAGGCGTCTGGGAGTCACTCCATCGACGGTCCACAGAAGAACTCCCCATGTTCTCATTGTCAGTCTTTTAATGAACATTTCCTCGGTTCGCATGTACTTACACAACTTCTCTTTATCTAGCCGCTTTAGAAATA